CTATCAACCGCCTCGACATAGGCACGAACCGATTCATTGCCATGAGCGGTGTACAGGGTGAGCCGGTTCGTCAGGCACGCAAGAAGAACTCCTAAAAACGCGCAGGATCGTGTCTTCCCGCTGCCAGGCGCCCCCGTTATGAATACAGAAGTACGATTAGCGGCCAGGCCGTACGAGCACGCTCCCAGCAGCGCTGCCAGGTGTCCATCCGCCCCCCAAAAGGTATCACAGAGGCACGTAAGGAAGGCGGGACCAACTGCGAGCGCAAGATGCTGGCGCGAGTCCTCGGATCGTGCTCGTTACTCAACGAGTCCTGGGACATGCGTAGACGCTCCGCATGCCACAGCGCAGGAGTCCGGGCGTCCTCCTGGCCGGGCAGCGGAGAGTCAGGCAGCGTGGCTAACACGCCACTCAGCAGCGTCGGCGTCCATTCTTTGCGATAGGTTTGTTCCTCCGCAAGCCAAAGGTTAAGGATGCTTTGCAAGGTGTTGGAAGCCCCCGGACCCGCAGTAGGCGATGCCTGTGCAGCTTGCGTTGCGTGCTTGCCTCTGAAGACTTGGCAGACCTCCGGGTGAATGAGCTGTGCCCATGTGTCGTGCCAGTTCCCTCTCACCACCAGCCCGATAATGAGGACAAGCACTAGATCCGTGAGAAAGCCCGGCAACCAATGTGGCTGCCGGATGGCATCAAGAGGCGAGTCTTCTAGCGGAACGCCCAAGGCAACATGTTGCCTTTCCCTAGGCATGTGTAACAGGGCATCCCAAAGCGGGGTAGAGGCTCCTCCGGGCAGAACTTCAAGCTGGCTGACTCTCGGCAATGAGGGTCGTTGCGCGAATTGGTTGTGCTGTTCATCAGTCAAGAGCAGGGCAATGGTTATATTGACTGGCTGCATGGCCTTACTTTCGCCAGGGCCGGTGGAAAGCTTCTTCGGGGCAAGGAGCTCTATAAACATGCCTGGGTAGGCCACATCTCCCTTGTCTTCTCTCAAGGTAACCAGCAAAGTGCACTTTACCAGCGACAGCAAACCACTTTGTAGCCCAGTCAGGGACATCCGCCAACTCCGGTGTAAGGAGCATGACCGACGCTCGCGTGGGTAAACTCGATGGAGAAGGCAGATTGGCCACGTATGCGTGCCGGGCTTTATCGCCACAGGGGTGGCGGCCCGCTTGACCGCAGCTTGCTCTGGGTCGTGATACTGTTCCGAGGGCTCCTCCTCGATTTCTGCTTCCGAGGCCATGGCTAAAAACTGACAACCCAGCATGTCAACCAGGCGTTCTAACGACAGGTGGGGGAGCCACATACCCAAAACAAGCTTTATCGTGGGACCAAGTTCATGATACGGGGGCGGCAAATCAGCCAGATGCGGCTTGGCATCCGTTAGGAGGACTTGGGTACAGTCAGCATGGAGACTGGCAAACGCACAAACCATGCCAATTGAGTTTGGCGATCGGGCCCCACACGGTATGGACCCGTCCGGCGAGCAACTCCACGGCGAGGCTGGAAGCGAGCAGGGCTGTGTCTCGTCCGTCGACTTCCATGCTGCCAGTGACTCCGTCGAGAGGGTATTGGCAGCAGATCGAGGACTGCAAACCTTCGCAGCTCTTCTGCTTCTCACCTGGCAGTGAACAAGGTGTCATGGTCAAGCAACATCAAGACCACCCCTGGCGCAAGGACTCTGAGGACTGCCAGAATTTCGGGCCCCGCCCACGTGAAGTGCACAGAAGCTAACCTCGCTTTCTTGGTGTTTTCCAAGATGGGAAACCACCTCTCTTTTTTAAACGGGCCTTCCCACTGCATGCGTGCTACCAAATGTTCGAGCGCTCATCCAAGTTGAGAAACAAGCTTTGTGTGCCCTTAACATGGCGTTTGAAACTTGTTGAGGGGATTCTTTGGAACTCTTGGTGAGGCCCCCAATTGCCTCTAACAAGTAAGGCAGCCAGTTCACACCTTCGATAACATGCTCTCGTATGCGCACCACCCAGCCTACGACCCTGTCGTGCATGAGCATCCCTCTGTGTGAGTTCTTGCCCACTAAGCTGAAGGACCTGACGCCGGGGCTCTCAGAACACAGGTGGCTTAGTCCATGGCATCTCCAGCTAAGGCAGGAAGGTCCCAGCAGTTTGAGCCCAATGTTGACTGGTGTCGTTTCTGGAAGTGCAGGTGATGAGCCAGTGTTGAAGCGTGTGCGGATAGTTGAGCAGCTCACAACCTTCATTGCTACAGTGCAGGCGCGCCAAGTCATCCGACACATGCAAGTGGACGAGCAAGGATCAGGCCCAAGGGCACCAAGCGGGGGTGAAGAGGCATCCTGATGTTGAGCTCGTTAACCTTGAAGATGAGATTCGAGCCTCAGGACTCCAGGAGCCAAGACGACTCGAGGGCTTGTGCTGGTCCAGCAGTGCATGTGAGAGTGTTCTGCTAAGCGACGTTGTGACAAGTCCGAGCATGTTTGATGTGGAGGTGAACAGCATTCGATTCCAAGATGGAAGTCAGGACGCGAAGAGTGAGAGTTTCATGTTGGAAGGACGTCGCGTGTTGATTTGGAAGTCTGACGCCGGAGTAGACGACAGTACGTTGGAGGAACTGCCGGAAGATCTTGTATTCTCCGGGATGCAAGAGGAACTTACCAACTTAGAGCGTTGTCAGACAGGCAGAGCAATCCTTGAGCATGAAGTGAAAACCCTGAAGGCTAAGAACCCATCGTTGAGACGGCCTCTAGAGCCATTTCCGGCGAACCGCCTGAGCTGCAAGGTCTCCACCCAGACATCGACTACACTGCACTACTCGGCTGCCTACTTCCACAGCTCCGGGCTGCTAAGTCCGCAGGAGCCCATGTCCTGCTCTTATTCACGGACAGTCGCTGCTTCTTGTCCATTCCGCATTTCCCCAACTTTGTCCGGCGATGCCTGTAACACAAGAATGGGATGGAGGAAGGCACTTTCGGTGAACCTGGAAAGGTTAGGAATTGATTGGAGAAGCTCTGCTAGGACTGCGGCTCCAAACAAAGTGAAGGGTTCTTTGGACTGAATCCCTTTTGGCTTCCAGCTCTTCTGTAAAGGTTCTTCCGTCAGAAGGGCTTCTCTCAGTGCCGTGTCACGGAGCCTTCCGTGGTGGCACATAAAGGCTTTGCTGGTTGTACACAGCAGCTCCTGAAGGTTAACGAAGTTTGCCTCTGCTTTGCCTAAAGGCTGAAAAGGTGGTGGAGATGCGTATGAGACCCGCTTCCACGGTAATGTGCAAAACATCTAGAAACTCCAGTACCTTTCAATTAAGAATATACCTTAAAGTATAGCAAGATTCCTAATGATATTGGAGTCTCTGGCTACTGGCTTGGATCGGCACCTGCTTGCATGTTCTTTTCAATTGCCATTCTCAGTGACACAGACTTAATCTTTGCGATGTCGACAATGTTGGCAATTTTCTGCCAGTCATTGCAGCGTGGAGCAACAATAGTTTTCTTGAGAGTCTTGTTGAGAGATCTGCTGGGTAGCAATGCCAGTTATGGCAGTCAAGTGTATGCATATAAAACAAAGGTTTAAATTCGAAGAAGCCAGAAAGAGTGTGCCTAGGTGGCGCTGTACAAAACATCCAGACTGAAACCGAACATCTTTCGTTTTTTGCCTTTTGAGCTTGTTTTCAAATTCTTCTCAGTTTTCTTCTTCAATGAATCTTGTGCTTTGGAGATGATTCCAATTTGTGGAAGTTTTGAATATTGTCCAGATTGATCTTAGGTTCAGAAAAATGGTTTATCTCAAATTTGTTTTTGTTTATTAGTTTCGCTTGCTACACTCGCACTGCTTTTCATTATGGCAAGAAAAACACGTGATTCCTCAACGACACAAAACGCTCGGCGTAGTATGCACGCTGTGATAGACCTTGCGAAAGATTCGAGACTGGCATCAAGCTGATCGGAGCTTGCAAAGCTTTTACTTCCGCCCAAGTTTGTGAGAACCGCTGTTTTCGTCCGAGAACAGCTGCGCAGTTTTCTAAGAAAGCGGGTGAGTGAAGATGGAGCTGCAGTTCCGTTGAGCGGTTTCCCCCGTTAGCGTTTGGCCATGAAACAGAACACTCCGAGTGCCATTTTTTGTCACTGGCATGTCATACAAATTTTGCCCTGTTTGTGACTGATATGTCTGCGAAGACGATGTGTGAGCTCTTTGCAAACGTCATGTGTCGCACACATCATACTTACTGTTGGGTAGTAGGGAATGAGGGAATGAGGGAATGAGGTATTTATATCGCCCTATATATATATATCCTTGTAAGAGATTAAAAAGGGTACTTCATTTTTTCATTCCCTACTAACCAACACCAAGTATAGCACGAGTGAAACACATAAATTGTTTCTCCCATCCGGCCCACCCTGGGCATTGGTTGGTGAAACCAGAATGAGTCAAGGAGCTGCTTGGAGGAAGGGTTTAGGGTTTAGGATTTAGGGTTTCTGAGTGTTGTTTTGATGCGCCGACTACAGTTTCCCCCGCCCTTTGAAATGAAAACAGGAGAATCCGAATGTCGCTGACATTCCTTACGGATGTATGTGATTGGAACAGATATGCTAAGAACTCGGAATGCCTGTTTGCATGTAGTATTGGCAATTATTAGCTAGTATCGAAAGGCAACCTTAACTTCATAATGTTTTGTGCATATTGAACGTCAACGAACATGAAGCGGCAGATTCTGGCCTAATTACCAGGTGACGCTAAATTGCAGAAATAATGAGTTTTAAGCACTAGTGCTTTTGCAAGGTCCATTTAGTCACATCTCGAGAAATATGGCTAGTATATATATATATGTATATATATATATATGTATATGCTATATATATATATATATATATATAGCAGAACCTATAATCCATAATGTCATCTGTAAAGCATTCTATAGTTTGTTCTGCAGTGTTTGCGTGTCCGACATCCGACGGCCCAAGCCTGCGCTAACTCTGCAGGACAACCCTTAGTTTTTTGGGGCCTTTTTCGGCTCCTCTTCTCTTAAGTTTGACAATGAAGCAATCTTCATGGCGATGGCCATGTTTCCCGGTCCAGATGTGGGCCATGCTTTCCGTGGCTTCGGCCATGAAAGTCATGCAGGACTTGAAAACCAACGCGTCGGAAGCCGCGGTGGGGGCGCATTCTGTGCACCTTTCACGTTCAGAGGACCACCTCAATGGGTCTGAGATGATGTCTGTGCAGAATGCTCTTGTGGCTCGCTCTTCCCGCTCGAAGACATCTGGGGGTGAGAATTTGGACACCGACCTCTCAAGCGTTGATGAGGAGCTTGACGCCGTGGTGTCAGCAAAGTTTTTCGGAGCCATTGCGGATGGCTTCAGCGCCGTTGGCAACACGCTTGCATCAGCAGGCATGGCCATAGGCAGCGCAGTCGGCAATGCGGCCACGGTCGTCGGGAGGCATGTCATAAAAGCCGCAGAGACCAAGTTGGCAAGCTTGCCGGGGCCGATCCAGCATGTCGCGAACAGCATTGGGAACGTAGCGGTCGGTGCCGTCCACGCAGCACGGGATGTCGGGGAGATGGTGGCGGATACCACGATTAGTCTTGCCGGAACGGTGCTTCACCATGCCCAGAGATTCGCGGAGGCAGGGGTAAGGTTGGCTGCGGGCTTTGCTTCGGCCGTCTGGAACGAGATGGAGAAGTTCATCAACTGTCTTCGCCAACAGTTCTCTCTGTGTTCGGTGTTGATTGGGGACCAGTGCGACTGTCACGGTGGCAGCCATGTCAAGATCTCGACAGGGAGCTTTTCCATGAGGTGTGTCTTCCAGGCAGCCGCCGACTTTTCCAAAGGCTTCGGGGTGCGAGCAGTTCCCAAGAATGGAATGGGCGGCGCAACCATTGGAGGTATCCAGACCTTTATCGAAGGTGTTGTATTGTTAGTTGGCTTAACTTCTTCTCTAGCAGACCATCGAAGTATCAAGTTTTGAAAACAGTTGGTTATTGGTCCAATACCGTGTTCTGTGGTTCTCGCAGGGTTTCCAAAACCAGATGAGGCATGGCGATATTGCCTGGAGATGACTTCGTGCAAGCCTACAAGAGCCTCGACCGTGCCAAAGCTATTCCGTTGCCTTTGTAGAGGTTCAAAGTTTAGACTTCCGGTAGCCTTGATCGACTTTTCTTTTTCGTCGTAGATGGGGGGGGGGACCCTCTCTGATGTCGTGGCTTTCTGAAGTCGTACTGCTGGCAGCATTCGGGATTCGTTGATCTGAGAGGTTTAGGGTTTGCAAGGTGTCGGAAGGATCAGTTCAGGCTGCTGCATCCTGGTCAGCTCTAAGCCAACAATGTCATGAACGCTAAGCCCGAAATCTTCCCCTATTTCATATTTCCCTCAGCTTTGCGGCCTGAAACTGGGAACCCTCTGCATCCGACACTTTAAAGCTTCTGCCACTTCTCCCGACTCCGAAATCCCATAAGCTTAAAATGTATACCCTTTAAGGGATTACACAGGGTACCTCATGCCCCCCATTCCCTGCTAACCAACAGTAAGTAAGTAGGGTTTAGGGTTTAGGGTTTAGGGTTTAGGGTTTAGGGTTTAGGGTTTAGGGTTTAGGGTTTAGGGTTTAGGGTTTAGGGTTTAGGGTTTAGGGTTTAGGGCTTAGGGTTTAGGGTTTAGGGTTTAGGGTTTAGGGTTTAGGGCCAGGGTTTAGGGATTAGGGTTCAGGGTATCTGCCTCTGTCAGCCCAGGGCGGCAGGTCAAGTCTTGAAAAGCCGCGAGGCATTGAAAACCAAGACGACCTCAGGAACCACGAGTGCCCCGGCATGGCCCTTTGGGCGGGGCTTGGGGTTTGGGGTTTGGGGTTTAGGGTTTAGGGTTTAGGGTTTAGGGTTGAGGGTTTAGGGTTTAGGGTTTAGGAGGGTGGTTTCTGCTGTGAAAGGCGGACCTGATTTGGATTCGGAGGAAAGGGGAGGGGGCGGGGGGTGCTAAAGCAACCCACGGCCCCACTCCTATGGTTGAATATTTTGCCTTTCCAGTCTAGCTATGAACAGTCACGCCGTTCAGCTTTTGATGAACAAGCAAGGCTCATGTGAGACGGCTTTGAACGTGTCTCAGACTGCAAGAAGAGGATGGACTGAATGTGTGGTACAGTAAACGGCATTAATCGTTGTTCATCATCCTCATCATCGTCATCATCATCATCATCATCATCACCATCATCGTCAGCGTCATCCATCATCACCACCACCACCACCATCATCATCACCACCATCATCATCATCATCATCATCATTGGCATTACCGTTTTAAGCATTCAAGTCCCATGCTGGCCATCATGATTATCGTTGTGAGCTGGTGCAGAGGTCTACAGATGAGTTGCCATATCTGCCCCCTAAGGTTGCTCTGGATGGCGTCGTCCAGTTTTCCCCAGATGTGACCATAACTGTCTATACCAGCGGAGACTGGGAAGTGAAGGGTTTCAGCATGTGTTGTTGTTGCCCCTGCTCTAAGACACTGCTGTCCCGTGGTTTCCTGCGTGGGTGTAAGCTTTGCTTTGTGAGAAGCATTGCTACTCTGAACCCTAAACACTAAACCCTAAACCCTAAACCCTTAACCCTGAACCCTAAACCCATGTGGTCCAGAAGTTCATGCTCCCAGAGTCTGCGCAGCACAGGAACGACCGAATTCTCAATCAAGGGAATGGTGCGCGCGTCCATTCAAGCGCTTGTCAAGGCGCAAGGCAGTTGCTCCTTCAAGGCCCCCGACAAGGGAAGGAGGCAACATGCTTCTTCTGTTGCTGCTTAGGACGACGATGTTTAGGGTTTAGGGTTTCGGTTTTCAGGTTCAGGGTTTAGGGTGGCTGCTGCTGCTGCGGATGCTGCTGCTGCTGCTGCTGGTTTGGCGCCGGTGGTTCTGGTGGTGTTCATGTCTGCTTTGGTATCGCCTTGACTGACCACAACCCTATAACTCAATATGGAGTGTGATTGGCATCTCGCTGCTCTCACGAATATCGTTTGAATGGCGATATCGCCTTGAAAGTTCATGGCAGGCCATGAGAGGATTTCCAGATCCTCCCAAGAAGAAGATCGTCTGTGCCGGCAAGTTCTGCATCGTGATCATGCTTCTTTGTCATGGTTGGGTACCAATTTACAATTTTAAGGGATAACCCTATAAGGAATGAAAGTTTAGATTCTTAATGTGATCCCAACCATGAACTTAAAACCCTAAACCCTAAACCGTAAACCCTAGACCCTAGACCCTAGACCCTAAACCCTAAACCCTAAACCCTAAACCCTAAACCCTAAACCCTAAACCCTAAACCCTAACCCTAAACCCTAAACCCTAAACCCTAAGCCCTAAACCCCAAACCCTAAACCCTAAACCCTAGGCTTCAGATGGTTACGGAGCTGAACTTGAAGGGCATCCTCACGGGGACGGTCGAACTAAGCACCGAAGTGGACTTCCAAGTCGAGGGCACCGTGCGTGTCACGAAGAACCTTTGGACTCGGTTTTTAGAGGAGGGGTTTAGGGTTTAGGGTTTAGGGTTTAGGGTTTAGGGTTTAGGGTTTAGGGTTTAAGGATTTTTAGTAGCAAGGAAGCCTAAAACCCTAAACCCTAAACCTGATCTCAGGAGTGGTCACTCAGATGTGGATATGAAGAGCCCATCGATCACGCACAAGGACGGCTTCGCGATCGGAGCCAGTGCGATGGCATCTGCACGAGTGAGCCTTGGTGGTCATTCTCGGGCAGCCTTTGATACCAATTCGATACCAATACAAGTTCTGCTGCTAAGATTTTTGGCTCTCGCCCTGTGTAGACTTGTGGAACTTTTGAAACGCAGCTCCAGACAGAGAACGGGCATGTTGAGGACAAGTTCCGTAAGCACCGGACTTCTGTTGGTACATTCGAAGCCTCAGACGTGTCAGAGACACGTCGGAGTTTGGTATTTTTGAGTAGTTTTTTGTACGGGCTTCTCAGCATCAACAAGGAGTGCCGGACCGGTTCTCACGATATGGCCCGTGCCGGGAATTCCTATCACTTTCAGGCTCGGTCCACATTAACTTCGTCAGAGCGGGGGAACATTTTCCATTCTTGAGGGTACTTAAACTCAATAAGGGATAGAACCTTAAGTTTCTAAACACTATCCCAGCCCCAACCCGGAGCCCTCAAAACCCTGGGCCTGTCTGAAGCGCAGCCACCCCCTAAACCTTCAAAAGCCTTAAGAGCTCTGAAGCATGCAGGCCCCTAAACCAGCATGTTGTCGCTCAACCCAAAAACCCTAGACCCCTGAAAACTTGAACCCTAATCCCCCCAAAAATCCCCCAAAAGCCAGAACATCCCAAAACCCTAGACGCCTGAAAGCTTGAACCCTAAGCCCCCCCGCCAAAAAAAAAAAACAAAAGCCAAAACATCCCAAACCCTAGACCCCTGAAAACTTGAACCCTAAACCCTGAACCCTGAACCCTAAACCCTAAACCCTAAAGCCCAAAAATAGAAAACCAAAAGCCAGAAGCCCTGCAGCAGTCTTCAGGCCTGCTTGGAGCACTTAGAACCCCAATTATATATAGGGTTTGGGGTTTGGGGTTTGGGGTTTAGGGTTTAGGGTTTAGGGCACACCCCCAATTATAACTGTACTTATAAGCCCCCTAAGTCCCACCAGTAGGTCATAAGTAGATTTGTCATTGTGGTTATAAGTACCCCTAAACCCTAAACCCTAAACCCTAAACCCTAAACCCTAAACCCTAAACCCTAAACCCTAAACCCTAAACCCTAAACCCTAAACCCTAAACCCTGGAACCTCCAAGTGACCTTCAGGCCTATGGTCCATGCCGAGGCCAAAGCCCAAGGCACACTGAAGCTGCAGCAACATTTCCAGAAGAGTTTCGGGTTTAGGGTTTAGGGCGTCTTTGGGTTACTGACTTTATGCATAGCAGGGTGCTTCTCTTCAAGAAGTTCCGTTTTTCAATCCGACGGTGTAAAAAACTGAGGAGCTTCAGTTCGGGCCACGGCTTGTTCTTCGTCCAGGAGTCTGAAGATGCGTCTGACCACGCTTCCGACGGATCTCTGTCCAACGCGAGCTTGGACACGACATCGACGAAGCTGGAGATGTGTGGAGCAGCCGCCCTCAACACTTATGCCGACGTCGACATCACGGGCTTCGCCCTGCCGGCTCTCTTCAAGCGCTTCTTCACCAGCTCCTTCATCTTGGATGAGATCTCGAAGGCCCTGCTCGCGGGCGCCGCAGCCATGGTGAAGGTCATGACAGGGCCGGTGCAGCTCCATCCCCCTTGAGAATTGTTTTTTGTGTTTTTTGGTTTTTTCATATAAACCCCAAGAGGATTTTAAGAATACTATATATATATATATATGTTTTCTTAAGGTTCTTAAAGGGGAGCACAGGCAGTGTGTTCCGGGCGCCAGCGCCGTCACGAACAAGATCCTGGCCGCGGCCCAGGCTGCCGTCTCCGCGCTGGTCGGGCTCATCCCGAGCCTCAGCCTTGACTTGGGGCTGCCCTCGATTCAGCTGCTGGCCCCCGAGAAGCTGGGTCCTTGTTGGTTAGAATTTGTTACATGTTCGTCATAATTATAAATCCAAATAAGGAATAAAAAATGATAGTGTCTAACAATACAACTTCAACAATGAAGCAGGAAGCTCTTCTGCAAGGAGGTCTACAAGACTCCCGGCTTCGACTCCGCGCCCTGCGCCGCCGAGCTTGGGTGCAAGCACGCCGGCAGGGGACCTCCCGCGGGCGAGGAGATCCCGCCCCCAGAGCAAGTCCACAACCACGAGAGGAAGACGCTCGGAGGCGGTTTTTTCTTGGCAACCTTCTGAAGGCCCCCCCGCCTTTTTTGTCCCCTCCCCACCCCTCGGTGTGGGGTTGCTAGATTTTAAGCTCAACGCTTCACCTCGCCCGGAACTTTTTTTCTCGCCCGGTCTACTCCTCGCTCATCATCCCTGGAGTGCCCAACCCCAAAGTGTCCCTGGAGTGCCCAACTCTAGGTGTTCCTGCATTGCCCAACCCCAGAGCGCGCCCAACCCAGAGTGTTGCTGGATCGCTTGCTGGATCGCCCAACCCCAAAGTGTTCCCGCACGGACTGAGTCTTACCATGTCCCCAGAGTGCCCAGCCCCAGAATCTCTTTGGAGTGCCCATGCCCAAACCCATGGAGTGCCCAATCCCAGAGTGTTCCTGGACCCCACCGGAGTGCCGAACCCAGAGTGTCCACGGAGTGCCCGTCTCCCTGGAGTGCCCGGCCCCAGATCCCTGGAGTGCCCAACGATGTTCGAAGTAAAATAGTTTTCTCGCAATGCCTGGTCACTCTTCCAAGAAGCAGGGGTTCCCCTCCTATTCGTGCTGAAGTCTCCGGTCCTGAGGGTCTCTGCGGGCGCATGCCCGGGTCTCGCCATGGGAGATCGGTTCATTCAACTGGGCCACTGGCGCTTGGCCGACATCGATGGCACCCACTTGGTGCTGCAGCACAGCAACGGCGCCTCGGATGGGATCTGCTTAACGGGGTGGTGGGGGGGGGGCGAGCCCCACCAGAAGCGTAAAACCCTAAACCCTAAACCCTAAACCCTAAACCCTAAACCCTAAACCCTAAACCCTAAACCCTAAACCCTAAACCCTAAACCCTAAAGCTTCCAAAGTCCCCCAGGTGAGGTTCCGATCGTGTGGCGGAGCGATGGGAGAACCTTCTGGCGACCCTGGCATCGCAACGCCAATCGGGTGGCCTGGAACAGGGGAGTCGGGCCGTCCAAAGGGATCTCGTCCTTGGGACTGATTTTTAGAGTATCTACAGGGGCTTCAGCAACACGGTGTCTGTATGTCGGGGTGTTACGATGTGATAAGGTTTCGGGTGTCAGGGTTTTGTGGTCGTTCTGTTGAAGAGTCTCATGAGGTTCGGCTTCCAGTTCATCCAGATCGGGACTTTCCGCATCGGTGCCAATGATGATAACCACTTCACAGTGTCCCATAAACACCGGACTAGCGCCCAGATCTGGCGGGGCCACGACCTGTCAGTTCACCACGGGAATCACGGCTCTTACTGGGACACGTTCGACCGTGGTGAGGGGTTTCAGGCGGGCGTCACCTTCGGAGACCGGTTCATACAGGTGGGCAAGATGCGGTTCGGTGAAAGCGACTCGAACCACTTCACTGTCTACTTCACGCCCGCTGGCAAGACCCTGGAGATCTTCCGAGGCCACGACGGGACTCGGCACGGCGGCAACAATTACCACTGGAACAAACACAACGGGCTGGTCCACCGAGCCCCGGCCGACTGGACCTGTCCCGACGTCGCCGAGCTGGCCTTCGGAAAGTGCAAGCCAGTGTCTGGGCTGCTGCTAAGGAGCTTATAAATCAAGCTACTATGAATAAGGAAACCCTATTATTTACACACATCCCCCTTTTATGGTGACGTAAGTTCTAAGTTCCTTAACCTAGATCAAGCTACGATAATCGGAAGCCCTACTATTTATGGCAACGTAAACTCCCATAAGTTTGTATAACTAGGAAACCTCATTACTTACTACATGTCCCCGTTGTATGGTAACGTAAGTCATAAGTTCCTTAACTGCTAAACCCTAAACCCTAAACCCTAAACCCTAAACCCTAAACTCTAAACCTTAAACCCTAAACCCTAAACCCAAAACCCAAAACCCAAAACCCTAAACCCTAAACCCTAAACCCTAAACCCTAAACCCTAAACCCTAAACCCTAAACCCTAAACTCTAAACCCTAAACCCACCCTAAACCCTAAACCCTAAACCCTAAACCCTAAACCCTAAACCCTAAACCCTAAACCCTAAACCCTAAACTCTAAACCCTAAACCCTAAACTATAAGTTCCTTAACCTGTCAACCCAGGAGTTCGGGCACTGGGGGGATCGCTTTATTCAGCTCGGGAAGTGGCGCTTGGCGGCCATCGACGGGGGCCACTTCAGCATCTCCCACCAGAACCTTTATTGTTGGTTAGCAGGGAATGAGAGAATTCGGGCCCTATCTATACCCTTTCAGGGATTATCTGGGGTACCCTAAACCCTAAACCCTAAACCCTAAATCCTAAGCTTTTAGGGGCTTCGCCCGTGTGCGCCAGCACAGCCTTTTGTTGAGTTGTCGTCAGCTGCCTTGTTTTGGTCCTCCCTGAGCCTAGTTGCCGATTCTTGGGGGTTTTGGGCCCTTCGCAGCCTTTGGGGCCACTTGGGATCCAGCGTGGGGCCTTTTTGGGCCTTTGGCCTTTTGGGGGGCTTCCCGACACCTTTTCGAGGCTCTTTGGGGTCCAAATTGGCCTCAGAAGGCCCGAACTGGTTTTGGGAGGCCCAAATAGGCTTCAGAAGGCCCACCAAATTGGCTTGGGTTGAGAAGGCTTAAATTTGCTTCAGAAGGCCGAGAAGGCCCAAATTGGCTTCCGAAGGCCCAAATTAGCTCCAAAAACCCGTAAATTGAGTTCGAAGCCAAACTTGGCTTCAGAAGATTTACATTAGCTTCAGAAGGCCCAAGAAGGAAGGCCCGAATTGGCCCGAATTGGCTTCAGAAGGCACACGAAATTGAAAACCGATAGTAGGTTCAGAAGGCCCAAATTAACTTCAGAAGGCCAAAATTTGCTTCAGTTGGCCTCACTTGGCTTCAGAAGGCCCAAATTGGCTTCAGATGGCCCAAATTGGCTTCAGAAAGCCCAAATTAGCTTCCGCTGGAAAGGCCCCAAAAAGGTAGCCCCAAAAAGGCCTGTCAATTTGGGGAATCTGAAGCCAATCTGATTTGGGCTTGTGAAGCCAATTTGGGCCTTCTGTTCAGCCTCTCGCTTTTCGCCGTAGAAAGTTTTTCAGGCACCAGGGCAGCCACTTATAGAATAGTTGTCCTGGGCGCCACGCTGCGCTAGCGAACCCTAAACCCTAAACCCTAAACCCTAAACCCTAAACCCTAAACCCTAAACCCTAAACCCTAAACCCTAAACCCTAAACCCTAAACCCTAAACCCTAAACCCTAAACCCTAAACCCTAAACCCTAAACCCTAAACCCTAAACCCTAAACCCTAAACCCTAAACCCTAAACCCTCTTTTACTATGTATATTTAAACCCTAATGACCTTCGTGGGCATGTGGTTTTTTTCTGGGCCCTAAACCCTGACCCCCTTCGTGGGCAAATGGTTTTTTTTCCTGGGCCGTGCTTCCAAAAGCACCCCAAATGAGGGGGACCCCAGGATCGGCCCGGGTCCCAGTTCAAAATGCGATTGTTGGGTACTGAAATCGACGGTTCTGGGTGGGCTCTCGTTTTCTGGATTTTTGATCAAAACCGAGCCTTTGGGCCCTAAACCCTGACCCCCTTCGTGGGCACATGGTTTTTTTCCACCCGGGGGGGCCCTAAACCCTGACCCCCTTTGTGGGCAAATGGTTTTTTTCCACCCGGGGGGGGCCTAAACCCTGACCCCCTTCGTGGGCAAATGGTTTTTTTCCACCCGGGGGGGCCCTAAACCCTGACCCCCTTCGTGGGCAAATGGTTTTTTCCTTTTTGGGCATAGGGTTTAGGGCTCTTAGGGCTTGGGGCATAGGGTTTAGGGCCTCAGGGCCCTGAGAGTTTCGGATTCAAGTTCGGTGAAGAGTTTTTTCAAGGTTTTTCAAGGTTTTTCAGAGTTTTTCAGGGTTTTTAACCCTCAATTCTGATGAAGGGCCGCCCCCACGACCTTTTCACAGCCTAGTTTTGGTCAAGGGGGGGTCGTATTTTTAATTTAAAGGCAAAATAGTCTTCTGAGACCCCCCCTTGCCTCAAACTCCGACCCCCCCTTGAGAGGGAAAGTTTGCCTCCAAAAACACCCAAATGAGGGGGACCCCAGGATCGGCCCGGGCCCCAGTTAAAAATGCGATTTTTGAGTACTGAAATCGACGGTTCTGGGTGGGCTCTCGTTTTCTGGATTTTTGATCGGGGCTTCTAAACCGTAGGGTTTAAGGCCCTAAGAGCATAAAGGGCTTATTGCGGGCCTTAGATTACAGTTCGGGTTTTGGGTCCGTTAAAAACTAAAATATTTTCTACCAATTGGACTTTGAGCTTTAAGCCTACCGGGAAAGTATTGAGTGAACTTTATATTTTCTCAATGTTATGGGTTTCTTGGGTGGGTGGGGTTTTTTTCCAACGCTTGACAAGCTGCTTGACTAGTGAATGCTCGGACTTGAGATGCTGAACCCTAAACCCTAAACCCTAAACCCTAAACCCTAAACCCTAAACCCTAAACCCTAAACCCTAAACCCTAAACCCTAAACCCTAAACCCTAAACCCTAAACCCTAAACCCTAAACCCTAAACCCTAAACCTGAGTCCCCTAAACCCTAATATCCCAATACCCTAATCTCCTAATACCCAAATACCCTAAACCCTAAACAACCAAGGGACGGGATCACCGCCCAGATCTACCGTTGGGATGGCACCCTGCACCCCGGTCCCCGTAGGGATTGGGGCTCCTGGCACAGGCCAATCGGGCTCCTCCGCTTTCTGAAGCTTGAGAAACTGTCTGGGGCTCTTTGTGGTGGTTGTGCTGTTGTTGTTCGTTTTTTTTTTTTTTTTTTTTTGTGTTTTTGTTTTTGGGTGTGTGTGTGTTGGTGTGTGTGTGTTGGTGTGAGTGTGTGTGTTGGTGTGTGTGTGTTGGTGTGTGTGTGTGTGTGTGTGTGTGTGTGTGTGTGTGTGTGTGTGTGTGTGTGTGTGTGTGTGTGTGTGTGTGTGTGTGTGTGTGTGTGTGTGTGTGTGTGTGTGTGTGTGTGTGTGTTTTTTGTTATTGTTATCATTTTTCTCATAATTTCTTAAGGCTCTTCAGGCTTAGCTTTTCGTTCCTTCGCGCAGTGGAGCCGAAGGTTTCCGCACGGCATCACCTTCGGCACCAACTTCATCCAGATCGGTCGGTTCCGCATCGCAGCCATGGACCGCAACTACATGATTATGGGGGTTTAGGGTTTAGGGTTTAGGGTTGAGGGTCTAGAGTTTAGGGTATATAATCTAAGGTTCCCTAGGTACCTACCCCCCTTGAAACCCCCCTCCCTTGAGGACCACAACCACATGAGCATCTCCCACCAGTCAGGGAATACGGCTCAGATCTTCAGGGGGCACCTGGGCCCTGAGGTGCAACATGCTCTCTGGTTGTTTTAGGGTTCAGGGTTCAGGAAGTTCAGGGTTCAGGGTTTAGGCTTAGGGTTTAGGGTTCAGGGTTTAGGGTTTAGGGTTTAGGGTTTAGGGTGCGCGTTAGGGAGCCTTTTAATGGGAAAGACATCGTCTCCGGACAGGAGCTTGGCTGTTCCAATTCTCGTACGCTCGTTGCAAGAGCCTCAACCCCCACACTTCCCAGAGAGAGCCCGTCCTAACGCCTTTTCGCTCCAAGCTACCCAGACCCCTGAACCCTAAACCCTGACCCTGAATCCTAAAGCCTGAACCCTATAAACCCTAAGCCCTGATCCCTATAAACCCTGAACCTTGAACCCTAAACCCGAAGATGCCAGTGACACTACACCCGAAGATACCCCTAAGCCGAAACCCTAAGATACCCTAAGATATCCTAAGATACCCTACGATATTTTAAGATACCCTAAGATACCCTAGACCCTAAACTCTCAACCCTAAACCCTAAACCCTAGACCCTAAACCCCAAACCCTAAACCCTAAACCCTAAACCCTAAACCCTAAACCCTAAACCCTAAACCCTAAACCCTAAACCCTAAACCCTAAACCCTAAACCCTAAACCCTAAACCCTAAACCCTAAACCCAAACCCTAAACCATAAACCCTAAACCCTAAACAGTAAACCCTAAACCCTAAACCCTAAACCCTAAACCCTAAACCCTAAACCCTAAACCCTAAACCCTAAACCCTAAACCCTAAACCCTAAACCCTAAACCCTAAACCCTAAAAACCCTAAACCCTAAACCCTAAACCCTAAACCCTAAACCCTAAACCCTAAACCCTAAACCCTAAACCTCCGAGGCATGATGGCTCCCTGCATCCCGGGCCACGACGCGACTGGGGCGGATGGGGGCTCCGTGCCGGGCCTGCGTCCGGCGTGACGTGCCTGGGTGCGTTTAGGGTTTAGGGTTTAGGGTTTAGGGTTTAGGGTTTAGGGTTTAGGGTTTAGGGTTCCCAAAACCCTCAGCCCTAGGCCCTTAACCCTAAACATCAAACACCCTAAAACTGTATCCCTAAATTCCTGACGCCTTAAGCCTATCTTATCTCGTTCAGGTTTTTCCATGGCAGTCATGCAGAGCTCCGATGATAGCAACCCCGGAACACGAGCGTCCTGTGTTTCTTTTCACAAACCCTAAACCCTAAAGCGTAAACCCTAAAACATAAACCCTAAAACATAAACCCTAAAGCGTAAACCCTAAAACATAAACCCTAAAACATAAGCCGTGAACTGCGCAGGTTCGGGGACAAGTTCATACAGCTGGGGGAGTTCCGACTCGGTGCGGCTGGGCAGCAAGGTTTAGGTTTACGCTTTTAGGGGGCCCAGTTTAGGGTTTTGGGTTCTTCTGAACTCTCCCTTTCGCCTACACTCTCTCTCTCTCTCCCCCTCTCTCTCTCTCTTTTTCTTTTCTTGTTCTCTCTCTCTCTCTCTGTCTCTGTCTCTCTCCCTCTCTCTCTCTCTCTCTGTCTTCCTGTTGGCTATCTGTGGGCTTACGGACTCAAGGTTCTCCTTCGCTTTTGGTGGTTGCTCTGTTACAACCGAGGCAGATGACTGGCACTTGTACGTGACCCACAAGGGCTACAACAAGAGCCCTCAGATTTTCAGGGGTGACGGCCATCTGATTCCCGGGACACAGCATCACTACGCCTATCGGGTCATTGGACTGTCGTGGAAGGCTTTCGTTGTTTTTTTACGTGTTTCTTGTTGCGCGCGGTGGTCTTAAAGTTGCGTTTTCCCAAAGTAGGGTCCATTGTAGTGTCCTTTTTTCAAAGGTGTTGCACTGTCTTGGGGACCCTAAAAGGGATCCTAATCTAGAGAACTACCCCGACAATGGGTCCTGGGTTGCCGAGGGCTTTCCTCGAGGTTTTGACACGATTCTTGAAAAAACCGTCTTCCTCCTGTACCAAAAACTACTTGATTTCTTACTTTTTGCTGCTTGGTTCTTACTGTTACCTTGTGTTTCGGTTCACACTGTGTTAACCCGGAGGCTAATATCTTAGTATGTTGTGCAAGGAGGCAAGAACGCTCTAAAAACCGGTGTTCTGGCGCCTGGTCGCCAAAGGCATGGATGCTTGTGACAGCTTTTCTTGTTCCACATCCTTGCGCAGTATGTTGTACAAGGAGGCGAGAACGCGGCAAATACCAGTGTTTTGGTCATCGTTGCAACTGGCATGGACGCTTGTCACATGTTGTCCTGCTCCGCATCCCTTGCGCAGTATGTTGTACAACGAGGCGAAGTCGTTGCAAATACCAGTGTTTTGGGCATGGACGCAGTATGAATGACGTTCTTCTCTGCCCCCCCAAAGCTGAACAACAGGAAAAGTGCAGGAAACACCGGAAAATGCAGGGGACACTGCGGCAGCCCAGGACACGTGGTCCAACTACCCACATTGCTGTTCAACACGGTCTTGTGTCAAAACCCTAAACCCTAAAGCCCTAAAGCCCTAACCCCTAAACCCAAAACCCAAAGCCGAAAAACCCTAAACCTTAACGCCCTAAACCCTAAACCTTAGACCCTAAACCCTAAACCCTAAACCCTAAACCCTACCGCCCTAAGCCCTAAAACCTAAACCCAGGTGAATGATCGGTACGCGCAGTGGCATTGTGGTGGCATTCAGGAACTCTTGGGGAGTTGCCCGGGAATCACAGCAGGCCTGGGTTTAGGGTTTAGGGTTTAGGGTTTCGGGTTTCGGGTTTCGGGTTTCGGGTTTAGGGTTTAGGGTTTAGGGTGGTTTGCAAAAGAGATCCCACTTCTGGCCCCAAAGTTACGGAGGGGGCTCTGGGTGGGGGGTTTCCTTCTTGGGACCTCAGGGTCTAGGGTTTAGGGTTTAGGGTTTAGGGTCTAGGGTTCGGGGTCTAGGGTTTAGGATTTCCCTTTTTCAGACAGCGTTCGGCAGGTCACGACTTCCTGCAGATTGGCGACTGGCGTGCCGCGCAGATGGATTGGTGGCACTTCTCATTCTCGCACCGCAGCATCCACACGCCCGTGATCTACACGGCCGACGGTCGTGTCCACTCTGGCCCGCGAAGGGACTGGCACAGCTGGGAACGTGAGCCGCACATCACACATAGCATCAAGTTCGGCGATCGCTTCATCCAGTTCGGCCATTGGTGGCGCTTGGGTGAATGGGAGCACCATGGGCGGCATTTTGTCCTCTCCCACCGACACAACAAAGCTCCCTTGGTCTGGCGCCGCTTGGCAGTTGCAGCAGGGAGCTCCGTTATGGAGCACATGTCTCACGTTGAGCCTTCAAGCAGAAGAGACCCAGAGAGCCCGACACCCCTTGAACAAGGAATAGGCCTTAAGTTATAGGGGCTTTAGTATGATGACCTCAGGTGTATTCCTTTCATGAAGGGGTATTTGGGGCTCTCTGGGTGTCTCCTTTGGTTCTGAGGCGATGACGGCACGGTGCACAATGGACCCCATCATGGCTGGAACTTGTTTGGGCGACCCACCGGTGCACCCACGGGCATCGCCTTCGGACATGGCTTCTTAGTAGTAGAGTTGGTAACCTTTTTAACCTTTTTGGGGCATTCTATTCTCTATAAAATCCAAAAGGTTAACCTTTAATTCCCCCAGGTCACTGGACAACTAAGGCTTCGTGCAGATTGGGAAATGGCGAGCCGCTCGATCTACATAGTACCCAGCGAGCGCAAGACCCCCTTAAATAAGGAATGTGCCTTAAACTATTAGGGGCCTTGGTGTGATGATTTAAGGTCTATTCCTTAGTTCAGGGGTATTGGGCTCTCTGGGTAGAGTCTATGCATCTTTAGCCCGTGCCGCAACGGACATGAGCCTTTTCTTTTGGTTCTGCTTGTTGTATGATATCTCGTACGCGCCCCAGATTGGTGATGTCGACGGCCATCACTTCTCTATCACCAATGTTAATGGCAAAACCGCGGAAATCTTTACCGGCAATGATGGAAGGCGACACTACGGCCCACGTGGTGACTTCACCACGTTCGGCCGCATGATGATGGACTGCCGCGTTGTGTAGAGGTCGCTGCCAGCAGGCAGCTGGGCAGGTTTTCCGCATTGTACAGCAGGGTGGGGGTTTACGGTACCGCCCTTCATCGTAAACCCCCCCCATTTGGGAGCACAGCAGTTTGGCCCGCTTCTAGACTCGACTGCCAGCTACCAGGCGATGACAAAAACACACTAGCGCGCCAAAGGAGCCACATCCAGTGGTCTAAAGAGGATTCTCGAGTGTAGCAGCTGCACCCTAAACCCTAAACCCTAAACCCTAAACCCTAAACCCTAAACCCTAAACCCTAAACCCTAAACCCTAAACCCTAAACCCTAAACCCTAAACCCTCTTTTGTGGCTCGTGACGTCGTGCAGATTGTTCTGCAGTCCCGCAGTCGGCTCAGGTTTGGGAGTCTAGCTGGCGTGGAATGAAAGGTGCATGCGTAGAAAAAGCACCGCCGCGGCCAGTTTAACGTAGCCACACGAAACCTCAACCCCAAGCAGCAAGCGATACTTTTGGATGCGACGGTTGCTTCATGCACATGCTTTGGAGGTTCATGCTACTTATTAACCAAATATAACTTGCAACTGTACTTACAACTTGTAGCCCACTTGTAAGCCCCTTAAGTGCCCTGTTTCTCACAACTTTCTCTGTGGCCTGGGGGTGTTTGCCGGCTTTTGTCACAACTGGACAGATGGCTTGTCGGAAGCTTTTCGGAGCAATCCTCACTTCCTGCACATGATGTGTAAGCTTCTTCGCAGTTGCTTGCTGCTCTTTGACTGCAAGATGGCACCGGACCTCACTTTCGCGGCTGTCGTGAGGCCACGCCCTCCACGCGTGTGCCGAATTCCCATAGGGCACGTGGCCAAAGCCTTGGGGCTTGACCTAGTTCTGGTCTCCGGAGTTTGAGAATCTACTGTGTTGCGTAGAAGGTGCTGGAGTGGCGTCACGAAGATGCGACAAACAGGACCTTCATAGCCATTCCTGTGGGCATCGAGTGTGGCCTCGTGCAAAGCAGGGCTGACTGGCAATGTCAGGTCGGCCCTGACGGTGCCCAGCAGCAACCGTCCCAGGGTTCGTTTGGGTCGCTGAAAGGCAGGCTTCTTGCCACGGCTGAGTGAGCAGCACCCTTGTGCTTTGTCCGCACTCCTCCATGCTGCCTTTGCATAGCCTAAACCCTAAACCCTAAACCCTAAACCCTAAACCCTAAACCCTAAACCCTAAACCCTAAACCCTAAACCCTTAAGATCTCTTCACAGAACGCAGTAAGGACTTCGGGGCTTCGGATGGGGCCTAGGGGCGGGGAGCCCGTCTGTCCCTGTTCCACTCCGTAAGCCTCTAAGTCTCTAAGCCCCCCCCTGAGATTTTAGGCTCTAAGCCTCTAAATGTCGGGGTGGGGGTTGCAGGGGGGGGCTCACCTACTTGGGCGTGCAGTAGTTCGGGCTGCCCAAGGTCGTCTGAAACGTGTCGATCTTGCCCAGGCTCTCCGCCGTATCGCGAGTCTCCTTGCTTCTGATAATGATCCGCATTTAAGCAACCTCAAAAGAGACCCGCACCTGTCTGACAGTGCTGGATGACATGTTGGTCACAAGCAGTAGTATAGGCAGTACTGACGCTTCTGCCCTGACCCCCGCCATGCCATGCGCCACTGCGTGCCGCCGCTAATAATTTTGACTGGACTCACCACCGGGTACGTATTCCTGCTTTCATTTCAAGTGGCGTGCCTTCCGGCTTTTTTTCGTGAATGCAGTGGCCTCAGCAAGCAAGAATCCCAACTATCGTTAGTGCTATGACACTGAAGCCATCGATGACATGTTTGGACAAGATGAGGAACATTTCACGTTTGGCGCTTATGTCACCAAATCAAACATTGAGCTCAACAATGCGATGGGTAGCTGAGATTGCCAATGGTGCTTCGTAGATGTTTTGCATCATTCCAATGAATTCTATTGGCAATCTGATGCTCGACACTGACTATGTGCTCGGCGATGTGGCTGAACGAATACAGATGCATGTTCCAGGCTTTCCGGACATGCTGCGGATGTTGCAGCCATCGTGCATCGACTGGGTTTCAAAATGCAAGGACGGGCCTTCTAGACAAACGCATTTCATGTTGCATGGTTTCTGCAATTGAATCTCTGGCAAGCACGATAGCCAAGGATCGCTGCCCTCAACCAAATGTAGAGATTTAGACAGATTGTGTCCATGTGGTCTTGACAAGTTGCAGGCTTCAGTGCCGCAAGGTGCTTGCAACTGGTTTCGCTTGGGGTCGACTTCGGAATCGAAATTTCTAGAAACAGCTGGCTCACCCAGCTGCGCGAGCCTCAAGACGAAGTATAGTGGGCTTTTGCGGCCTGCGCTCCAAGCAGGTGTGTCCCCGTATGAGACTCGAGATGCTCAAGAGGCCACCTGCATACAAGTGCAAACCCCGTCTATCACCAGGGTGCATTCATACATCCACAGTTGGGGGAGAAGAACTTTGCGAGATGTATCTCCGAACGGCTTACCAGGTGCCGGGCTTTGCCCATGATCTGGAAGCTGGGATATTCTTGGCTACGGCACACTCCCAGACATGCTACCGGATGTGGGCTTGATCTCGCCTCTTGGCACATGCCAAGCGGCACGCAGACATCTGGCAGAATAGGCCAGGGACCGAAGGAAAGGGTACAAAGTCGGAAAGGCTTCACTGGAGCTGCTTGAGATGTCGGGCTGTGCTGCATCAGGCTTGGATGGTGATTGCACACGTCGCATTCCACGGCAGTGGCCTTTCACGTGGCAAGTCAAGAGCGTCTCAGGCTTTGTGGTCATGGAGGCCCTTGTGCTTGAGAGCTTCCTCTGTCGTTCTTGCGGGGTGGGCGAACAGCCTCAAAGTTGTGGAACCTTCAGCTTCTTCTGATTTACGTCATCGCTGCACATGTCCCAGCCAGAGATAGCCAGAGCCATGGCGTCAGGTCCAGTCTGAGTGCTCAAAGCTTGCCAAGTGGCTTGACTGCGTGTGTCACTACAAGCTGACCCTTCTGATCCCCCGTCCCACGTTCTTGCGCTCGTGCAGCTGCCGTGTCCGATGCATGCTTTCGGTTTTCGTAGATTATGAAGTTTGGAGAACCTTCTGGGCCGTATGTATGCGTTACCTTGCCCGTTGAGGGTCAGCGACCCGCGCGCAACAGAGAGAGTGAGAGAGAGATATGCCCATGCTTGCCGCGCCGCAGCACAAGGTCCGACCCCTAGAATCTAGAACACATCGGAACACTCGGTTAGCGGTCGTTGCAGGGCCTGAAGCCTTCGCCGCGTCCAGCGGCAGGGCGTGGCTGGGTTTTCAGGCCCCTGCGCTGCGTCCTTTCGCTTAAAAATTAGCCTTCTCTTGCATGGCTGAGTGAGCAATACCTCAGTCAGGGCTGTGTGTGGTCCGGCCTTTAAGGGGATGCAAGCGGGTCCAAGGCTCTGTCCCCACTTCCAGGTTTGTTCACAGAATGACCTTCATGCATAATGCCGTGTTGGGCCAGGTGTTGCTGGACGTGCAGTAGTCCGCCCGGCCAGGGTATCCCAAGACGATGACAGTGTCGCACCAGATCGACTTGCATGCCAGAAACCTGAACTAAGTGTGCAGGTTGAATGCGCCCATGAAATTTCAACCGGGGCTGAGCATGAGGCCATCCGTGATCCTGAAGAGCCTTGCGAAGGAAGTCATCGAAGTGCTCGGTACGGATCGCGACAAGCATGCCATGCACGGAAACCGTTCCTGGTTGCCATCGTGCATCTGACTGGAGCAAGACAAGGCTTCATATGAGGCGATGCGGATGAGAACCCTAAACCCTAAACCCTAAACCCTAAACCCTAAACCCTAAACCCTAAACCCTAAACCCTAAACCCTAAACCCCAAACCCTTTAAGTGACCTGTCCTCCTTCTTGCAGCGGAGGGCGGCCAACATGGGTGGCACTCAGAGCCTGGCGCTCTTCTATGACACGCCATGCGCCTTAAGCTGCATGACATTCGACATTCAAGAGGGCGCAAGACTTCTGCCCGTGCCCCATTGTGAGGCCCTTGCGACCACTTCCCGCATGTGCCATTCAGCACAGTGGGGCTAGTGAGCATAGCGTGCAACAGCTGTCAGACTCTGCCAGCCACTAGTGGTCCCTGATGCGCAATCTCCAGATGCCGAGCTGGCAGAAACATGACGAACAATAACGGCCGCGAGGCCGGGCAAGTGCTTCTGATGGATGGCTTTCAAGCCAGAACAGGAACCGGCACGGGAATTCCGACCCTTGGAGATCCTTGTCCATGTTGCTTCACATGGCAAGGGAGGCTGTCCATACAAAAACATGCTACAGATTGGGGATTGGGATCCAAGTGCATGAGGCTTTTGCAGTGAGGGGTCAAGCAAATCAGCAAATCGGAGAACGGGACCTCGGAGACTGGCAGGCGAAAGGGTGCAGTGACTGCGCTTGAGCTGAGGAGCCGGATCTAGCCTGTGACACCGATCCCAGAAACGTCCAGAAGCTGTGTGACGGGGTGGATTCCATTTTATTCTCGCAGCTCTTAGGGCAGTTCTAGTTCTACCTCAATTGCCTGCAGCTGTAGCACCTCGGACACGCACGGCTTCCGCTGGATGCAAGAACGCATTCCAGCGCAGAGTTCCACCGCTGCGTAGCTGTAGACTTCGCAGGATGCCGTAGAATCTGTATCGCTGAGAGTCATGCCCTGTGACACGGCATTCTATGCTCCGGCTTGGGGCAGCTGGGAGAGGGCTTCTGAGGGCTTCAGCGCATGGATGCTGGTTCAATCTCTTTGTCGGAGGGCCATCGCATCTGGGAACGCTGCAGCCGAAAGCAGCAGACGGAAGCATACGCTGCCGTGCAGCGCCTCGGCGTAGGGGGCAGGAGAATTTTCTGAGGCTTCCCGTAGATCCCGCCTGGCTCGGCTCCATCCCTGCAATCTAAGCACGGACTACCAACTCTAACTACGGGAGCTAGAGCCCTGAATGCAACAGACACCCAGCCAATCACTGAAATCACCCTAAGCTGCCTAAGCCCAGCCCGAGCCCTGCTGTCCCTTCCCGAAAGCCGAGAGGGGTGCCCAGCGTTGCCCATCGACTCAAGAGCCATAATTCTTGTGGTTCTTGTGCTTCCGAGTTCTCGGAACGGAGCCGTTTCCAGGATTTCCCTGGCCAGCATATGAACTTCAAGTACCGCAGCTTCTGGAAGGGACAGGGGGCTTTGCCTGGCAGTTTTCTTGACGTTGGCCTGTTCGGCATGTCCGCTGCGCATTCTTCCAACGATTGGTGATGCGGGTAGCCAATGTCCCTCGATCACTGCACCGCGACAAGCCTCCAATCACTTTCTGCATTTGCAGGCAGCGTGAGAGCACGAGAGACAGCTCGGATGCTCGGACCCGAACAAATTCGACCATGAAGCCACAAAGCTTTGCTGATGGTTTTGGCCAGTTCTGTGCCTTCTGCGCCCGTATGCCTTCCATTACGCCTTCGCTTGCCCCTGCCCTTTCCTCGACCGCAGAAGTCCAAAGCCGGGCTTGAGCTTCGCTTGCTCAAGCTGAAGGCTCGCCTTTCCTATACTTTTCACAAAGAGGCTGCCCACGCCCCGCCGCAACGTCTTTGGCAGAACCGCGGGCGCGTCTGCATGACTGCAGTAGGTCAGAACACAACTCGAAATGTGGCACTCAGTGGCCACACTAAGACTGATGCAGAATCGCCTCTCAAAGCTGTTGGCAAAGTGAGCTTCAGGTACCGCAGTTTCACTGAGTCTTTTTGGAAGGGAAGTTTTCTTGACGTTGGCCTGCTCGGCCTGCTGCGCATCCTGCCGATTCGACTGGGGCTTCCAATCATATCGATCCCTCGATGGTGCCGCTACCACAAGCCTCCAATCATCTTCTACCTCAGAGGATGCCTTCATACACGAACGGAGGGCGAAATCCGAGCTCCTCTCGAATCGAAGGGTTGCGGAACCCATGCCCTGCTGGGCATTTCCCAAGACCGGGGTACCTGTAGTATACTCCAGAGCGGGGGGGGTAACTCCCGGGAGTGGTACGAGTGACAACACGAACTGTCTTTTGGGGGGTTTAGGGTTTCGGGTTTAGGGTTTAGGGGTTACGGGCTTGAGAGTGGTGCTTTGGGATGCTCCCCCTTTTACTAACTGTCCTTGATGGGGATGACACAAGGGGGTAAGCTGTAATCTCGATGAAGGACTGTTAGTATAAGGGGGAACATCCCCAAAATGTGGCACTTCTTAAGTGCCTTCGGACATGCGAGCCATCGGCCTAAGCCTCGAAGCAAAACGTAGCATTCGCCCCCCCTCTTCAGAACATGCGTACCCTGCAAGACACAAGCGAGTCGACCTTACAAAATGCGGACCGTGCATGAGAAACATCCTTCTCGTAGGTCGTAGGTCCCACAGTGCGCAACGAGACCGTCGAAGCTTGGCGCGTTCAATGCAGGTTGGAAGGGGTCAAGGCGTACCAGAAACCCTAAACCCTAAACCCTAAACCCGAAACCCTAAACCCTAAAAACCTAAACCCTAAACCTGCCACCAAGAAACCCCAAGTGAGCATCCGCAGACTTAAGCCCGTAGCGCTTGGAGCCGCAGATTGAGCATGGCCCCTAAACCCTAAACCCTAAACCCTAAACCCTAAACCCTAAACCCTAAACCCTAAACCCTAAACCCTAAACCCTAAACCCTAAACCCTAAACCCTAAACTTGTCTGGAGCCAAGAGGGCTTCAGGCATGGCGTTCGTGACTGTTCGTAGCACTTTCCCAAACCATCCCAAAGCTGAAGCTGAGGTTGGGTTTGGGGTTTAGGGTTTAGGGTTTAGGGTTTAGGGTTTAGGGTTTAGGGTTTAGGGTTTAGGGTTTAGGGTTTAGGGTTTAGGGTTTAGGGTTTAGGGTTTAGGGTTTAGGGTTTAGGGTTTAGTGGGTGCGTCCTGGTCTGTGTTTTTGATGCAGATCTCGCACAGCAGCTGATTCAGAGGCGTCTAGGCTCAGGATCAGGTATGTGTGGTGAACCTTTGGACACAGTTCCCGTGCGCTGCAGAAAGATTGCATCAGACATTTGCAGGTCAACGGCTCTTGATTCTTGAAGTTTTGATGCTCGGGATGTGAGGCGAGGATCAGCAAGTCTGGGTCCCTGGCTCTTTGGTGCATTGAGTTTTTCTGGGCTTCCTTAAGGGGTTTGTTGTTGGGCCTTTGGGGGTGTGGAGTCCGGCAGTAAGGAGAATTGCTAAGGCTAAGGGGTTCGGACCCCTGCCCACCCCCCGCCCCGCCCACCGCTATCAGTCGCTTGGGTACCGTGTACAGTGCATGCAACAGGCACCGGTCGTTGAAGGCCCCAGCAGAAGGCAGAGTTCTCATGGGGGCCCCAGCAAATCCTCATCTCTTAAGGAACCGCAGGCTTCGGTCCCTTGATCCCCCCCGCCCCCCAGTTGCATC